GCAAGGTCTCACTCTGTCTCCCAGGCTGGAGTGCAGTGGTGTGATCTCAGCTCACTGCAGCCTCAACCTCCTGGGCTCAAGTCATCCTCTCACCTCAGCCTTCTGTGCAGTTGAGACTATAGGCATGCGCCACCACGCCTGGCTAATTTTTGTAATTTTTGTAGAGACAGGGTTTCACCATGTTGCCCAGGCTGGTCTTGAACTCCTGAGCTCAAGCAATCCTCCCACCTCGGCCTCCCAAAGTGCTGGGATTACAGGCATGAACCACTGTGCCCCACCTGAAGGAACCAGGATTCTAACTGTGCCTGTCATCTCCAGTCCAGTGTGCTTTGTGTTACAAGAACAACAATTCATCCCCTGCGGCAGCAGGCTGAACAAATCTGCTTCCTCAGATGAAGGAGCCACACTGAGCCCTCTGCCGAATGGAAGGAACAACCCCAAATTCCAGAGCCTAGGGAGGGCTAGGGAAGGGGTCGCAACGAGGATACCGGCATCTCAGGTGCTCTGCTAGTTTTCCCAAAACGAAGCAATTCAAACAATACATTTTTTCTTTTTTTTTGAGACAGAGTCTTGCTCTGTCGCCCAGGCTGGAGCGCAGTGGCCGGATCTCCGCTCACTGCAAGCTCCGCCTCCTGAGTTCATGCCATTCTCCTGCTTCAGCTTCCTGAGTAGCTGGGACTACAGGCGCCCGCCACCACGCCTGGCTAATTTTTTTGTATTTTTAGTAGAGACGGGGTTTCACCGTGTTAGCCAATATGGTCTTGATCTCCTGACCTCGTGATCCGCCCGCCTTGGCCTCCCAAAATGCTGGGATTACAGGCGTGAGCAACAATACAAACATTAATATGGGCCTGGCCTTAAACATCTGAAAGGGCTGTCCTTAGTTCCACTGTTTTTTATCTCAAGGATGAGGAAATGAGAGAAGAGGAGGTGATTTCAAAGGCTGTCCCATGAGCCCCAACTTAGAGAAGGTTGGCTAAGTAAAGACAATACCCATTCACGTTCCCCCAGGGGGAATGAATTCGCTTCTGTTTAGCATTTCTGTGTCTTTGCTTGAGAAATTCTAGGTACTTGTAGACACAGAGGAGATGATGTATCCCAATGGATGTGTGTTGAGGAATCCATTTGTGGGCATAATAGTGCTGAACAGTGGTTACATACGGACAGATACGAAGCCCGGGAATAGTTGAAAATTGGGTGAATCAGAAGTGGAATACAATCATATTTTTACATGGTTTCTAGCTCTCCTCTCTCCTGCCTTAAATATCTTGACCTCATTCTGGCTGTCTCACTACTAAATAGGCAAATTTACTTTTAGCAAGGCTGCTTCTTTTAAGACTGTGTGTCCATCTCCTGGACAAATATGGAATAGCAAGAAATTTGTTAGGAATTAAGGAAAGGGACTTTCCCAGGCAGCAGCCACTTAGGGCTGGCTGCTTCTGAGCATGTTCCGTCTTCCCAGGCCTGGCTCACAGTTTTCAGTGCTTAACGCGCATGGCGCTTTGTGCGCAATTTCACTTAATTCTTCCCTCAGCCATCGGGAGCTAAGGACAAACTGTTATCCCAATTGTACAGGTGAGGAAATCGTAGCTCATTTAAATAAATTGCCAAGGTCACACAACTAGTAAGTGACAAAATCTCAGTCAAACCGAGGCTCTTTTGGCTCAAAGGCGTGTATTGAGCCCTACTCTGCTCTGCAGGGACAGAACTAAGTATGTTTTCTATTCAGGGCATGCACAGTCATTCCATGAGTGAGTTACACAATGTAAGATAAGGACATTGTGAAAAACAAAACTATACCGTACATAATGCACTTTATAATAAAGTACTGGGAACAGAGTATGTGGTAAATTGTAACTATAATAATAATTTTAAACAGATCCACTAATCACACATTATTATATTCTGTTTCACTCGGGCTTTGCCTTGCTTCCCACTTTTGTACTAGGTCCTCTTGGCTTTAGTTTCTCCCCAGTTCTCTACCCTTTAAACTCTCTCCAAAGCTTCCCTAGAATTTTTGCTCTCCTAGAAATTAGACAGGCACCTGCTCACATCATACATCCCCTACCCTTGTCACCAGACATACACACATCCATCTTCTGGGCTTTCTGTTCTCTTGCGGAAAAGTCTGCAGGGGAAGCTGAGGCAGAACCAAGTCCACCAGATTCCGAGGAAAGATAAGTGTGGACTTTGTAACCAGATAAAAGTGAAGCCACAACTTCACTTATTCCACAAATACTTTTTGACTACCTATAGATGGCACGCACTGTTCAAGGCGCTGAGGTTCCCACAGTGACAAAAGAGACAAAAACGTCTGCCTTTGTGAGTTTGTATCATAGTGGAAGGAAACAGACAAAAAAAGTAAGTAAAATATAGACACTGGTATGTAGATGGTGATAAACGATAACGAGAAATATAAAATAAGGACGGATTGGAAGTGACAACAGTGGGGAGGTAGAATTGGTATCTGCATTTAACGTTTTCTAACAACAAATCCAGGGTGGGGTACAAAGCAGTGAGAAAATGAGGCCCTTATGCTCAGCGCCCCCAACCCTGCGTCGGTGGGGTCACTATTCACTTTGGAACACTGCCCTTGGGACCAACATATTCTCAGCGATCCTTGTGAAGGTTTCCACCCTAAGTCCCTCATCCTCACCAGGCAATATTTATCCTCCCAAAGCAAACTATGGAGGCAACGCGGAGAAAGTGTGAATTAATTCAAGACTAACGTTGCCAAAATGTGTGATCAGCTCTGCCTCAGCCTTGACATTACATTACAGATTCCCTGATCGCCGCCGTCGCAGAAGCTCTGAATTGGAAGCGTGCATGTATTTGCAAATCCATTGCTGGCATTTCTTCCGTTAGCCTCCGCTGGAACTGGTTAGTGAAGATCCCTCCATTTCACAAGACAGCTTCAGTTTTGTTTCGTTTTGACTTCCCCACTCCGAAGCTGTAGCGCACTTTGTTTTCTCACGGGACAGGGGCGGCTTCCGGGGCGCGGCGTGCTGGGGGTTGTAGTCCACAATCTCCCGCCTGTTCCCGTTATAGAAGCCGATGGGCCGGGAGCTGCGGAACTACAACTCCTAGAGTACCCCGCGCCGCTGGGACGCCGTGCGGCTGCGGGGCGGGGCGAGCGCAAAGATGTCCGCGCCCGCTCCTGGGAGGCGAGGTGAGAGTCTTTGACCGTAACCAGGCGTCCGGAGCTGAGGCAGTTCCTGCACGTGTCGCGGGGCCGGAGACGCTAGGGCCAGGTATTCCAAGGATGCAAGAATCCTGCAAATTCGACATGTAAACTGCTTCCCCAGCCTCCAGGCGAGCCCTGCCTTTGCCTCAGGCCCCTTCCTTTTCCTTCTCGGGGAATCGGCCTCGGGAAGGGGTGTGGGCAAAGAGATGAGGACTCTCCCTTTTCGCCCAGGCCAACTCGGGATATCCCGGAGCCTCTGGGGAGGCGGTAACTCCGACGTCTGAGGACCTGGGCCTTGGGCCCGGACTCGTTATGAAGAGCGACTGCTCGACCTCTGCAGCCCCCTTCAGGGGGCTTGGGGGACCTCTGCGCAGCAGCGAGCCGGTGCGCGCCGCCCCGGCCCGGTCGCCGGCCGTGGACCTTCTGGAGGAGGCGGCCGACCTCCTGGTGGTGCACCTGGACTTCCGGGCGGCGCTGGAGACCTGCGAGCGGGCCTGGCAGAGTCTGGCCAACCACGCCCTGCCAGAGGAACCCGCGGGCACGTACGTGCTGGGCTCGGAAATGAACCGATTTCCGGGTGCTCTTATGGTGGGGCCCAAGGTCTCAGGAGTTCTGTCATTCCCATATTGCCCACAAGGAGCTTTACACCTCGCTTTCATCAGTGGTTTGTCTCCGACAGGGCGGTTGCTCATCGTGTGCCAATTCTACAGAGGAGGGAAGTCGTATAACAAGAGCTTAGTGGCGAACCCACGGCCAATTATTTGCTCCTTGTTCCAGGGTAGAATGGCATGATGCGAAGGCTGAATGTGTATTAAGTGCTAAGTTCTGTCAGTAAGCAGGTGGTAAAAGTCCTCTCCCAGGTACCTCCGCCCCGCCCCGCCCCGCCCAAGGTTGTTTATTCCTGACCTTGCGGATGATGGGGAATGGGGGTCATGGCAGGAGCAGTGTTTTGGTCCAATTGGAAGAATGGATTAAATAATTAATTCAGGGCCGGGCGCGCGGGGGCTTACGCCTGTAATCCCAGCACTTTGGGAGGCCGAGGCAGGAGGATTGCTTGAACCCAGGAGTTCGAGACCAGCCTGGGTAACATAATGAGCCCTCTTCTCTAGCACAAAGAAGAAAAAGAAAAGAATCCGGAGAAAAAAACCTTGGGCTTGCATTGCTCTTTCTATTGCCACCAGCCTTGTCTGGCAGGTGAGAGCGTCATTTCTTTGCATTGTAAAGTTGGGTTAGGCCACTCTAGGGAGGTGTTAGGTAGAATAGCGAAAGCTGACCGCAGAGAAGGATGATCTGGAGAGCCCTGGCTGTGTTTTAGGGTACTGGGTGGAAGCTCATTTCAGTGAATGCAGAAGGCTTTGCTTCTCGGTGTCTGGAGGAACCTTACTAGGTGGTGCCTTTTAGCCAGCTGTGGAGTTGCTATACCTCCATTCAGCCAGAAACCTTGCTCCAAGCCCATTTGTTCACTGAGCAAACTTAGTTCCAGCTCTTTTTTCTCCCACACACCGGTGATGCGTGTTATTTCTCCCTCAGGATTACTCTTCCTCTTCATTTAAATCTGATTTCACTTGGATACAAAGAAGAACGTTGAGCAACAGCTGACTTGCCTCTTAAGAGGTTTACAGGAACTTTTAGTTCCTGGGGGAAAGGGCAGCCCATAAGACCAATTGTGAAGCCCATCTAAGTACTAACAGGGATGAGGGAGATGGTGGCTGCTGAGTTGGGAGCTGGAGAGGAACAGTCCCAAGGTGGAGGTGGGCATGGAAATGGAGGGGAACTACTTCTAACTGAAATTGGTTTTTCTGCTGACAGCTCCTTGGAGGTGAAGTGCTCCCTGTGTGTTGTGGGGATCCAGGCCCTGGCAGAAATGGATCGGTGGCAAGAAGTCCTCTCCTGGGTCCTTCAGTATTACCAGGTCCCTGAAAAGCTACCCCCCAAAGTCCTGGAGCTGTGGTGAGTCGTCTTTGCTGACTCATCAGATCGTTTCAGAAACAAGAGGATTTGCATCTCCTCTCCGCAATCAGGGCCTAATACCTACTCTTTTTCCCCTTCCCTACTATTGCCCTCCACATCTAATTCTTTCCCTTCACTTCTTCTTTTTTTCCTAGAGTTCCATACATAGCAATAAAGGATAAGGGAGGAGGAATTTAGGAGTAGAATAGATATAAAGAAGGGAGGGGACAGGGAATAGGAGTGACATGGGATGACAGAGTGGACCGAGCTGAAAGAGCAGCTTGCTACATCCTGGGAATTTCTAATTCTTAAAAAAAAAAAGTTTTTTTGTTTTGTTTTGTTTTTTGTTTTTTTGAGATGCAGTCTCCCTGTGTCACCCAGGCTGGAGTGCAGTGGCCGGATCTCAGCTCACTGCAAGCTCCGCCTCCCGGGTTCACGCCATTCTCCTGCCTCAGCCTCCCGAGTAGCTGGGACTACAGGCGCCCGCCACCTCGCCTGGCTAGTTTTTTGTATTTTTTAGTAGAGACGGGGTTTCACCGTGTTAACCAGGATGGTCTCGATCTCCTGACCTCGTGATCCACCCGTCTCGGCCTCCCAAAGTGCTGGGATTACAGGCTTGAGCCACCGCGCCCGGCCACCTGGCCATTCTTGAGTTTATTTTGATGACACTCGGTGAGAGTTCCCTGTACCTAGAAGAAGGTGTTGGGACTCTTGGTGTTGAATGTGGCTTGTGCTGAAGACACAGGACCTGGTAGGGCAGCAAGAACTTGATCTCGGAATTGTGGAACTGCTTGGCTGTCGGCTGGGGGCACTTGCTGGCTGCAATCTCCTCCACTTTCATGATCCGGATGGTGTAGGCCCTGGTCATGGTGCCAGGTGCCCATCTTGGTAGCACTGGGTGGTCAGGTCCCACTATTCTGCATTCATATTGTGGATGCTGCAGTAAGCGTCATAGTGTAGCCAAATGCCAAAGTTCTTCACTCGCAGGGAGATTTTTGGAACACCTGCCCAGTAGACACTTGCCCCTGAAGACTTCATCTTCTTTTTTTGTTTTGAGACAGAGTCTTGCACTGTTGCCCAGGCTGCGGCTCACTGCAACCTCTGCCTCCTGGGTTCAAGCAATTCTCCTGCCTCAGCCTCCCTAGTAGCTGGGATTACAGGTGCTTGCCACCATGCCTGGCTAATTTTTTGCATTTTTAGTAGAGACGGGGTTTCACTATGTTGGTCAGGCTGGTCTCGAACTCCCTACCTCATGATCCACCCACCTTGGCCTCCCAAAGTGCTGGGACTACAGGCGTGAGCCACCACGCCCGGCCAAGACTTCATCTTCTTTAGTTGAGATACAAAGTACCAGAAGCGGGACTTGGCAACAACTTGCTTAGGTGCAGAGATTTGCTGGCAGTAGAAGGGCAGCATTTGGGGGTGGGCAGGCGGCAGATACTCTTGCAGTGTGCCCAAGGCCTTCATGGCATTCTCTCAGCACTTGCCACCACTTGCAAAAGGAAGTACCGTCTTTCCTATTTTGAATTTTTTAAAGGAACCTGCATTCTGGTTTCCATAATGGCTATACCAATTTACAGTCCCATTAGCAGTGTGTAAGTGCTCCCTTTCTCCACATCCGCACCCTCACCAACACTGATTTTCTTTTGCCTTTTTAATAAGAGCTGTTCTACCTGGAGCGAGGTGGTGTCTCAGTGTGGTTTTGATT